CTTGTGCAGTTCCGCAGGGCCTGCAAGACGGAGCTCTTCCGCCAGGCTTTTGAGTAGGAGCCGCCGCCCCACTATACCACCACCGCCATGGGTTGGTTGAGGCCCTGAGGAAACATCTGAATGGAAGAAGCCCTAAGCCGTCTACTTGGAACTCCGGACCGGCAATCCGTCATCTCTGGACTATGGAAGTCACTGAGCACCTTGTTTTAAATTAGGATTTTAAGATGTATTATGTTTTAATCCATTATATATATTATGTTTTATTATGGCGAGGTCTGCCTTGCCTCTGTAAGCCGCCGTGAGCCCTTTGGGGAGGGCGGGGTATAAATATAATAAATAAATAAATAAATAAATAAACCTCCTACCAGTGCTCCCTCTAAGAGAGTTAGTGTGAGCCAGCTCACAGTTTTTCAGCCTCCGGCTCACACATTTTTTTGTCTTCGCTCAGGAAGGAGGGCTCCAGAGGAAACTGATTAATGCAGTAGCCAAATCGCTGGCTCACAGCTTTGATGCCGGCAGCTCACAGAGTAGGATTTTTGCTCACAGGACTCCACAGCTTAGAGGGAGCATTGCCTACTACCTGGTCCTTTTAACTGGAGATTCCGGGGATTGAACCTGGGACCTTCCGCATGCCAAGCAGAGGCTCTTCCCCTGAGCCACGGTCCCTCCCCTCCCTTTCTCTCCCTCTGAGAGAAAGCCAAACAGAATCTCGAAGGACGGGGTGTCCTCAGGTCTCCTGTCCTACACATGGCGGCTCTTGGCTCAATAACTCAGGAAAGGGTAAAAAAAAGAGAAAGAAAAGTCCTGGGAACTCTTTTTTCCTGACAAATAAATCTTTCGAAAGCTCTCAGCGGTTTGAAATTTAACAGCTTGTGATGCCGGAGTTGGGAAAGAGGGCTGGCCGCACGTCAATCCGCAGAGGCAATCCAGGCTCACCCTTCCTCTTTGATCCTGGCCAGGGGGGCGCATCTGAAAGGAAAACGTCAGGGCAGGTCAGCCGGCCAGTCTCGTAAACACCACCGAAGTTTTGCTGACACATCCCAGAGGATGGATTCCCCTCCCCCCCTTTTCCCGTTGCTAAACAGGTCCCCTTCAAACACAGAGCCACCTAGTACAGAGTGTCCCTGCCGAGCTCAGGGCAGCCTTTGGACCACTGGGCGACGGGGCGGGCCGAAGCCTGATCCATCCCCATGAATAATCGACGAACCCCTCCACTGGGTGCCGGTAGGGATTGTCGCCACCCCTAATAATTGTGGCCATAGGTTAGGGATAAATGAGTAACTGCAGCCGCTCAGAGACCCCTGAGGGGGTTCGTGCGGGTAGGCCGTCCTCTGAAGTTGGCTCAATTTCATGTTCGTTGCATCTATGACACTGTCCAGCCATCTCATCCTTTGCCGTCCCAGTCTTCGAGTCATGAAGAAGAGAAGAAGAGGAGACTGGATTTATACCCCACCCATCACTATCAATCAATTGACCATTATTGGCATAACATACAGAACATAAGACTCAATTTGCAAGGAATACTGAACGCTTTCTGGACGCTTCATACAGAAATTTTGCAACACTTTCCATTATGATGTGATTCTGGGTGGTCAGCAAAAAGTAAATCTTACGTTTATCAGGTTCCCCTGAATACTTTTTCAACCATGGCTCGATGAATGTAAGGCGCAGGTCCGAGTAGAAAGTACATGAAAGAAACACATGTTCAAGAGTTTCTATCTCCTGCTTAGTGCAGGAACACAATCTACTGTCGAATGGGATTTTTTAGAATCTCCCATATAATACTGCTGATGGCAACACATTAAACTGGCTAACATATACGCTCTGCGTTGCCCCGGGTTCGTTAAACAAGTTAGATATTCAGCCCTATGCCCAAAAGGGAAAGGCACCAAATGAAGGGGTGAGCATCTACTTTTTGCACGACTCTCAAGAACCTGCCTCTCAATGTCAGCCAGTCTTTGCCTGATCAGTCTAAAGGCTGACTTTTCTGTGTACAGAAATAAGTCTCCAATGTTAAGCCCAATTGAATTGATTTTTTCTTCTATATACCCTTCAAGTGGTTTAAACGCTGAACTGCAGGCTGTGGAAGGTCGGTAGTTCAGCAGTTTGAGACCCGAGTGACGGAGTGAGCTCCTGTCTCTAGTTCCAGCTCCTGCCAACCTAGCAGTTCGAAAGCAAGAAATTGCAAGTAGATTTATTTATTATTTATTTATTTATTCAGGTATTTCTACCCCGCAAGCGGGCTCAGGGCGGCTTACAAAGGCATAAGCCCATAACATAAAATTCCATAAAATCCAATAAAATCACAAAATCACACTTCAGTGGGAAGGAAACAGCATTCCGTGCGCCTTGGTGTTTAGTCATGCCGGCCATATGACCACGGAAACGTCTTCGAACAGCGCTGGCTCTTCGGCTTTGAAACAGAGATGAGCACCGCAACCCTAGAGTCGGATTCGACTGGCTTTCGAGCAAGGGAACCTTTACCTTACCCGAAGGAGTCCCGGAGTGGCTCACCATCTCCTTCCCTGACACCCTGTGAGGTAGGTGAGGCTGAAAGAGCTCTTTTGAGGACTGCTCTTAAGAGAACAGCTCTGAGAGAACTTGTGACTGACCCCAAGGTCATGCCAGTAGCTGCATGTGGAGGAGTGGGGGAATCGAACCCGGTTCTCCCAGATTAGAGTCCGCGCTCCTAACCGCTACGCCAAACTGAAGCCAGCGACTTAGCGTGTCAGGCCAGAAGCTTCCCATTCTGGGGTGGCACACTGGATAAGCGGTCTAGGAGGGCTCAGGTTTGGATCCCGCCTCTGGCAAAGCATTTCTGGGTGGCCTTGGGCAAGCAGCCGCCTCTCCACCTCGGTTCGTGTCGGCAGTATGGGGCTAGGGGGCAATCGTTCTGGCCTATCTTGGAGGTCACTGAGGAGGGTTAGCGAGACAATACACACCAAAGCGCTCTGGACACTGAAAACACCATCCAGATCCCAAGGCCAAGGGTCACCAACACAGTGCCTGTGGGCACCAGGATGCCCGCCAACACCAGGTTTGACTCCCCACTCCTCCACCTGCAGCTGCTGGTGTGACCTTGGGTCGGTCACAAGTTCTCTCAGAGCTGTTCTCTCAAGGGCAGTT